GTGGGCGGGGGACAGGCGGCGCGGAAGGCACAAGGCAGCGACCGCAGCGACGCCCGTGCACAGGCGGGCGCGGCGCCCCGCCGGCCAGCGGGGGACGCCGGGACGGCACAAGCGCCGAGGATGCATAGGGATGTGGCTCCCCCCTGCCCGGGCGGCCAGGTCGGAGCTGGGCGGGGCGCGGTGCGCAGCGAGCGCAGCTGCCCCGGCCGGGCCAAAACTGCCAGGGGCCCTGCGCCCAACCCTGGTGAGGGACGGGGGGGGGCGAGGGCATACCTGTGGGAGAGACCTAGACCCCCTCGAGTCATGAAAACAGCACGACGGGAAGTTCTTCATGATTTTTGGCCTCTGGGGGCCCCTACCGGCCCTCGGGGGCGCCAAACAACGACTCAGGATGCAAAACCGGTCCTGGGGAAAGTGTCGGGACCTCCCCAGACCCCAAACCCCCGACGTCATGATTTTTTCATGACGTCGGCCCCCGGAGGTCTGGATCCATTCCCCAGGACCGGTTTTTCGTCCTGGGTCGTTTTTTGACGGTCCCGAGGGCCGGTAAGGGCCCCCAGAGGCCAAAAATGATGAAAAACCTCCCGTCGTGATTTTTTCATGACTCGAGGGGGTCTGGGGACCCCCGACGTCATGATTTTTTCATGGCGTCGACCCCCAGCGGAGGGCGCGGTGGCCAGGCCGCGCAGTGGGCGGCCGGCAGGGGGGGGGGAGGCACGAGGCGGCGGCTCAGCGCAGCAGCGCCAAGGCCGACGCAGCGGTGGGGGCCCGCCTGGTCGTCAGGGACAGGCCCAGACCCCCTCGAGTCACGAAAAAATCACGACGGGAGGTTCTTCATGTTTTTCGGCCTCCCCAGACCCCCGACGTCATGATTTTGTCATGACGTCGACCCCCAGCGGTCCCGACCCTTTCCCCAGGACCGGCTTTTGCATCCTGAGTCGTTTTCTGGCGGTCCCGAGGGCCGGTAGGGGCCCCCGGAGGCCGAAAATCATGAAGAACCTCCCGTTGTGATCTTTTCATGACTGGAGGGGGTCTGGGTCTGGGGGCCCCTACCGGGCCTCGGGACCGCCCAACAAAACGACGCAGGATGCAAAGCCGGTCCTGGGGGGAAAGGGTCGGGACCGCTGGGGGCCGACGCCATGAACAAAAATCATGACGTCGGGGGTCTGGGGAGTGCGCCCTCCACCGGGCAAGGTGTCGGGGGCCCAGGTGGTTCGTAGCGCTGCGTGCGGCCACCAGGGCGCCGCTGTCTGGACGGCTCGTTGGTGGACCTCGTCGGGTCGGCACGGCGATAAGAAGGTAGACACACACAAACACACGCACACACACACACACACACGCACACACACACACATACACACACACGCACACACACACACACACACACACGTATGCACCCCTTGCCACTTTTCATATGCACATACATGTTCTCATACCGCGAGATACACATACACACAGAGAGAGAGAGAGACAGAAAGATGGAGAGAACGACAGAGAGAACATGATGGCTGTGAACCGAGCCGAGAAATAGGAACCGGGTCTGGAACCGAGCCAGCCGAACCGAACCGGTCAGCCGAACCGAACTGGCTGAACCGAAACGGGCGCGGCCGAACCGTACCGGGCGCGCGTCGAACCGAACCGAACCGAACAGAAGCTATCATGAAAGAGAAAGAGAGAGAGAGAGAGAGAGAGAGAGAGAGAAAGAACTAAAAAACAAATGAAACAAACAAACAAACAAACAAACAAACAAACAAACAAACAAACAAACAAACACACAAATCAACTGCAACTTTTAGGTCGGGCGCGTCCTCCAGGCGGAGTTGGGACGAAAGCTCAAAAACAGCCACAACATATTCAAACAGAGTGAAAACCAGTCACAGCATCGTCCCCAGACTATTCTTGGACTATCTCTGGATGTTCCCCCCGTAGGGGGGCGTGCCCGAAGCAAAAAGCAAGTGGTGGCTCGCGCCTCCGCCGTGGCGCAAGGTGGCGGCGACGACGGTGAGGAGGAGGAGGAGCTTTTTCGGGCCGGGCGAAAGGGGGGGATAGCAAAGGGGGGGTTTGAGAACCAGCTCACGTAGCTGATTTTGCCGGCGCATCCCGGCGCCGGGAGGCGCCCATGTATCGAGGAATGGGCCCGGAGGCGGGGCCGGAACCAGCTGCATGCAGCAGATTTCGTAACCCCCCCTTTCCCAATCCCCCCTTTCGCCCGACCCGACTTTTGCGCAAACCTCACCAGTCTGGGACTCCCGTGGTGCGGCCAGCAGTCGGGAGCGCTGGGGGCGCGACGTGACTACCTACCAGACCACCCCAGCCCAGCCCGAAGACCCGAATTTCGGGTTGGGGGGGGTAAGGGTTCCACATGTACTTTTTCGATGTTTCCCGACCCCCCCCACTGGAAATCGAGTGACAATCTGAGCCTTCGGGTTGGGTTGGGGTGGTTTGGTGGGTGGTGACGATGGTGGTCTCACCTTTCGCGGCGCCAGAAACTGAGAGCCGACTTCGCGAGGATCTACCTTGCGGCGAAGCCGGTCTTTGTGCTTTCGTGCAGCGGGGCCACTGTGAGAGTCTCTAACCCTTCTGACGTATACATGCGATACAGTGCCCTGCCCCAAATTTGATATAAAGATTAGATGCTCATTCTGGGGACCTTCCTGGAGCCACTCGCTCCACTCGTGCGTCGGACCTGAGTCGAACCTGAGTCGAACCTGAGGCGAACCTGAGTCGATCCTGAGTCGAACCTGAGTCGAACCTGAGCCGAACCTGAGTCGAACTTGAGTCGATCCTGAGTCGAACAGATCCGTCAGGTGGGCCCCAGGAAGGTCCCCAAAACGAGCATCGAATAAAGAGATAAAGCAATTGGAACTTGCGGGTGTCCGCTCGACTTCGGACAAGCTCCGCCTGCATGCAGGTCACCAGCTGCACCTGCGGCCTTGCACTGGCGAGCGAGCGGCAGGCGCCCTGGTCCGCGGAGCCCGCAGGTTCACGGGTGTTGGCGGCGCGCACAAAGGGGGCAGGGGGAGGGGGGAAGGCTTCTTAGACGAAGGGGTGCTTCTAAGACGCATTCCCCCCTCCCCCTGCTCCCCTTCTGCGCGTGGCCGACTTGCACTTGCGCGCGAGCAGCAAGCGTCCTGGTCCGTGAAGCTCGCGGGTCACGGGTGGCGCGCAGCACTGAGACTGGCGGCGACCTAATCGGAATCGCTTCCGCTCCCAGTGGAATCCTGGTCGCTTGCGGACGAGCGGGGCGGGCCTACCGCGAGATGAAACGGTCCGATCGCGTGCTCCGCGATGACCTGTGCCATGTCGGAGGCCTTCTTCTCAACGGGCATGAGGTCCTCCTCCTCGGCAATCGCGGCCTTATGTGGCACGCGGCTGAAGCCCATGCGCTGCAAGACGCCCATCGTGGCGCATATCACAGCTGTGGTGAGGTAGCCGGTCATAAAGGCACACTGCGAGGCGGCAAACGTCGACGTTCCATCCTCCAGCGTCTTGCCCCGGAAAGTCTTGAAGGTGAGGTCTGGGCTGGGCTGGTGGATGATGCCCAAGAGCGACAGGAGTGCACCGGCGGACGCCCAGATCGTTGCCTGGAAGAAGTTGCCATCGATAGAGAAGACGATGAAAGAGGTCAGGATCATCGAGGAGAGGAGAGCACCGACGCCGAGAGCCTTTAGGGACGTCAGGGTAGGATCTCCAGAACATTCGAAGGGTATCACGGTGGCTACCCATTCTGCGATCGCCGGCATGAGCCCAATAATGGCTGCCGGAAGGTGCCGCTTCTCGATGACTACGAAGGCGTCCTGGCAGATCGCCAGCCCCACGAAGAGGATGATCGGCGCGATCGCGTACGGGGGAACGAGCGCGGCCACCATGGCGAACTGCCCGGTGAGGCAGAAGAAGCAGAACAGTGCGCAGTTGATGCTCTGATGGTACATCCTGCCGCCTGAATCCTTCAGCGCCTTGTGCCCGCAGTACACACACGTGCCGAAGGGCGACCCGAAGAGGGCCGACACCATCGTCGTACAGCCATCAATGACGAGAGCCTCCCTGACGTCGAACACGTCACCCGCCTCGTGCGCGTTGTACACAGACACCAGCGTGTTGATAGCTCCGACGAACGCCACGGGGAGGATGACGTTGATGTTGTCCAGAGTCACTTGCGGGATCGCCTTGAACGCGTCCAAGGGTATGAAGGTGGGCAAGTACAAGTCGAAGAGGCTGCCAGCGCCCCTCACTCCCTGCCAGGTTCCGCCCCCGTTTGCCCATCCAGAACTGAAAGTCCAGCCCACGAAAACACCGGCAATCATGACCACGACTGCGACGGGGAGGGGATAGTAGCGGAAGTTCGCGAAATAGCCCAGTATTGCGACCATCAGCGGCACGTAGCCAACCTGCGGCGCTGCGAAGACCAGAAGCACCTGCGCGATGCCCAAATAGGTCAAGCCCAGGCCTGCAAGCGGGATCAGCAACGACGCCTTTGGGGCCACCCTCAGGATTGTTGAGCCAGCGAAACCGACCAGCGCCGCGAGGAAGCCAGCAGCGAGGTTCGCAGCACAACCCACCTGCCAAGTCCTGTCGATCCCCTCCTTCCAGCCCAATCCTTCTGCTGCCCCGTTGCGGGCCGCTGATGCCATGATTTGGTAGACGAACGCGAATGCGGCAGGAGTATTGATGCCGTACGGCAAGCACATTACATCGAAACGCTTCTCCTTCCTCCTCATGCGAAGGGCCATCCATCCGTAGTAGCAAGTGCCAAAGATCATGGTGAAGCACATCCCGTTGAGAATCTTGCCGTAGATGACGTCGGTAAGGTAGGCCATCATCTTTTCTACTTCTGCTTTCTCTAGGTCGCGACTCCAAGGAGCTGACATGACAAACTGCATGCCACTTGTGACGGAGACTATGGTGCCCATGATTTGAAAGAAAAGGTTAACACCGCAGTCGAAGTCCCCAATGGCTGGCCTCCCCATGAGGGAGACCAAGCTCGGCTTCTCCGCCGCCAT